AAAAGACTTGTGCCTGGGCGTCGTCGTTCCCCCCGCTGAGCAAGGTCCAGATCACGGCCCCGAAGCTGAATAAATCAGCAGCGGTGCCGCGAGCCTCCTGTCGGAGGACTTCTGGACAAGCCTGAGTCTGCGCAAAAGGGGCGTGCCTACCGGAGGGCCGCCTTCGGCGAATTCTCCGGCGTGGGCGGTGCCGAAGTCGCCGATTTTCGCCACCTTTTGACGTCAGTCCCGACCCCTCCAGGCCTAAGATCTGTGAAGCAGTAAAGGGGCCCCTCCCTGCCACGATTTACTCGGAGCACTAACACCTGCACAAACAAGCATCTCCCAACCCAGACCCCAGCGGCATGGCTCTGCAAAGCCAACGGCGTGACGACATGGAACCCAGACACCCGAGGAAAGACGCGACGCGGGGACATTCCGACGCCGAGACGTCTCGAGACCTAACGGGTTGATGGCGACTTCACATGCTATTGAGCGCTTGTCCAGGAGGCACGTGATTTGATGGAAGTGTTCAGGCCTGGCAGTGTTGGGATTTGGGGTTTGAAGGCTTCGATGTGTTTTATGCTGTTTTTGAGGGTGGGCCTCTTGTTTTCAGTGTTTGGAATTTCTCGGACGTCATGTTTGACAAGGTTGCGGGCTGCTAGGTTGTTCCGTGTTTCTAATGCTTTGAGTTCTTATTAGTTCTAATTATTTTCGCACGAGTGCCTCGGGTCGTTCGGCGTTTTGAGGCTTCGGTACACGTCGCGGCCTAGGAGCCTGTTTGTCACGGCTCGGCTCTGTGCGTGCGTAAGACCTATAAAAACCAAGCCCAACACAGAAAGAAGCTAAACCCTAATCTAAACTTAAACCTTACTATGGGAATTTCCAAGAGGGGCCCCTAGTGTAGAAAAGGGAAACATGCAAACTAGTAGAATCCGTATGAATCCGTGTTACGGAATGCAAACACCCCCTTCTCATGACCGTGTCCTAGGCCTGGTCCTCGGTGAGCAGGATGTTCTCCGGCTTCACGTCACGGTGCAGATACGGAATGGAATGCGAGTATTCCAAACCGCTCCACACCTGAAAACGGAGCTCGAAAGGACTCAAAGCCAGAAGCTCGAGGTGGGAGGCCTGCGCCATCCACCGTCGACCAAGCTCGGGGACTTGGTAATCAGTGCCCCGGGATTGCACAATGGCGGCTTCCAAGCTTCCTCCCGAACTCACAGAGACTCCCCAAAAGGGTGCACACAAGAGCACTCCCTGCACCATCACCACAGCCACGACTATGACGAAGCGTCCCGAGTCATCCTACATTGTCATGCGCGGAATGTGTACTTCCAAAATTGAGCGCGCGCGCGCGCGCGCGCGCGCGCGCGCGCCCGGGGAGGGAGAGCCAGTTGCGGGCGGTTCGGTCAGTCGTCCTTGTCACGCAAGAAGCTACTTCTGACATTCTGCGCGCACACGCGCGGGGGAGGGGAGGGCGGAGAGACACTTAGCTGGTTGCGGACGTCGGTGAGTCGTCCTTATAGGCAGTTCCGAAATTGTGTGCCCGCGCGCGCCTGCGGAGGGGGCGGGGCGGCGGAGAACGCATGAAGCTACTTCCAAAGTTGTGTGCGTGCACGTGCGCGGGGCGGGGGCACTCGCCCACATGCCGCATATGAGATATTCAGCTGCTTGCTGGCGTCCCGGCGAGCCATCCTGCGTGTTGTGTTGATACGCAGAAAGCCTTTATGCGCACTACGAGAAATCACGCAACCAAACACAAACGATCACAAATGGAACATGCGGCCAGCGCGCCCAGAAACGACAGAACCTCCTGGTTCACAAAAGGCCCAGGACGTCGAAAGGGACGGAGAAATCGCACAAGTTCCACCCTGGTTCACAGCATGGCCCAGGACTTCCAGAAGTACATGCAGTGCACGCCGTAGCACAAACGACACAACCTCCTGGTTCACAACATGACCCAGGACGCTAAGCAACGCGAAGTGCACGCCGCTCTAGCAGAAATCGCAGAAGCGCGCACAAACGGAACACGTTACTGGAGGCTAGGACAGGGACAGGCAGCAAGATGTTCAAAGTCAAGCTGTGGAGCCTCCAGAGCAGAGCTCGAGAATAATGCCGTCATCCTCGGTGAGCACGGACAGGATCCTGACCAGGTTTGGGTGAACCAAACCGGTCATCGTCTTCTCCTTCAAGAATCCAGTCCAGCAGGCCCCCCAACCCAGCAGCGCCCGAAACGCAAGCTCTCCTGTCGCAGGTGGCCGGCATTCCGGACCTTCGCTAACTTCTTGGCCACCCTGCAGCGAGTACCGCGAAAGGCGCTTCCTCTCCGCGCGTGAAGCCTTGCCTCTCTCCGTTGTGCTCGCCCGCAATCACCACGGAATAGGCACCCTGCTATAGAAAACGAATGGCAGCACTTCGCTGAAAGCTAGGCCCCAGCCTTTCCCAGGATTTGCGCCATCGCACTAGACTAGAGGAGGGGGAGAAGCGGGACCAACGGATCACTTGAGCTCACAAATAAAACAGCGGCTCCGCGCTGAAACATGCTCAACTCTTAGTAGTGGAGTGATCGAGAGTACGCCAGACTTTCGAAGAGCAGCTTCATGCACTTAGGTCGATTTGTGGCAGAGAGGGTTGAGAGGGTTGAGAGGGTCGAGAGGGTTGAGAGGGTTGAGAGGGTTGAGAGGGTTGAGAGGGTCGAGAGGGTTGAGAGGGTTGAGAGGGTCGAGAGGGTTGAGAGGGTTGAGAGGGTTGAGAGGGTCGAGAGGGTTGAGAGGGTTGAGAGGGTTGAGAGGGTTGAGAGGGTTGAGAGGGTTGAGAGGGTTGAGAGGGTTGAGAGGGTTGAGAGGGTTGAGAGGGTTGAGAGGGTCGAGAGGGTTGAGAGGGTTGAGAGGGTTGAGTGGGTCGAGAGGGTTGAGAGGGTTGAGAGGGTTGAGAGGGTCGAGAGGGTTGAGAGGGTTGAGAGGGTTGAGAGGGTTGAGAGGGTTGAGAGGGTTCAGAGGGTTGAGAGGGTTGAGAGGGTTGAGAGGGTTGAGAGTTTAGGGTTGAGGGGTTCTAAGGTTTCGAGGCAAAAGAGTTCAAGGTCAACTATTAGGGGACTCTTCGGGCGATTCAGCGGGGCTGTTTGTGGGCTCAGGACTTTGTTGGCTTTGAGGTCTTATGGAAAACGCCGGAGGCTTCTCAACAACGAGGTCTTGCGGTGCTGCCTCACTGCGACGACTCAGGGTCCCCTAAACCCTCAACCCTACCCCCCTAAACCCCGAAACCCCGAAACCCCTAAACCCCCCTTAACCCCTAAACCCCTAAACCCCGAAACCCCCTTAACCCCTAAACCCCTAAACCCCCTTAACCCCCTTAACCCCCTAAACCCTGAACCCTAAACCCTAAACCCCAAAGCCTGATGTTTTGGATTTCCCGGGTCAGCTTCGGGAGAGCCCCTGAAGGGTCTTACGGTCTTAGGGTCTTTAGGGTCTTAGGGTTTAGGGGTTTAGGGTTTTAGGGTTTAGGGTTTAGTGTTTAGGGCTTTAGGGTTAGGGACACTACAAACGCCCCCGGCCCCGGACAATTTCTTCCCTAATCAATGTGCACGCACTGGTGGGGTTCTTGCGTTGGAAGAAGAGGAGGGGGCTTTTGGATTTTTAGGGCACGTGCGGCAAGATGGATGCGTGGCGCTAAGCAACAACAGAGAGAGAGAATCCTCGATCTGCGTTTGTTTTCTGACGGGTGCCTGTGTTCACAGGCCACATGCTGTTGCCCAGTAGAGAGAGCATTGGGATCAAAAGCCAGTGTGCAACATAAGCAGCAGGAGGAGACAGCCATCGAGGAAACTCAAACGAGCCCGCTCACTATGCCCAGGAAGTGGATCCTGAGGAAATGCGTTGAACACGAAGCCGGACTTGCGCCCGTCTTCCACTGGAGAGATGAAGCTTAGCCTTGCTTGCGTACCAGTGATGCCAGCTGCAGTCTGGTTCTTTCCCGACTCATTTCCGAGAGGGGGTTCGCCTAGCCGACGAAGTGCCACATTGGACACATTTCCCGCGACGTCAGAGGTCTTCAGAACATGCTCGTTTGGACCACGCATGATGATGAGCCCAACTGACTCCATGTACTGCGACAGGCGAATCCGGTCAACAAACATGCGGAAATCAACGTACGACGAGGTCAAGCGCTTGGCCAGCATGGAATCTTGAATGCGATGATCCAGTTCCTTGGCAGCAGAGCTCAAGGGCCTACAGTGGTCCCAAAGCTCGTTGTTCGAGCTTTCTTCGATCCTGAGCAAGAGTACCCTCGAGTGGTCGTCTGATAGCAGAACTTGGTGATGCCAATGAGGCTGACATGAAAAGCAAAGCATCCCTGCAGCATACTCCAACAGCGTGTCAAAGCAAACACCATACGTTGCCACCACATATCGTATGCTCTTCAAGGCGCCATCGAACAGCGCGCGCTGCGCAGGCGGTGCGTCGCGATACTCCTGGCTGACGCCAAAGTCCTCCATCTGCGAGCGAAAACCTGCCAGATGAGATGCCTTGTCCTTCCAGTGGCTCTCCCACCGCTGGAAGGCTTTCCTCTGCTCGTCTTCAAAGGATACAGTGCAGCATGCTGGCTGCAGGTTCCAGAAAGGGCACAAGCTCAGCGAGTTCTGAGTTTCAGGCTTGCTGGCAAGGTGTCGTATGTCACTTTTCCCAGCCCAATGTGGCTGAAACAATGGGTTGAAGCAGTCGCCATCACTGTGCCCTTGCTTTGCAGAACCCAGTGTTCTAACTGGCAAACACCAAAAGAGCGCCCCAGGCACAAGTCGTCTCCACATTCGAGCGTCTGGCAGGAGCCGACTCGCTACAAACTACTGCACTGAACCATGAGCCAACCCACTACTACGCAACACGCATGCTCACTGTTTATGGGGCCCTTTGGCGACTCAAGTCTCCAGCTAGCAAGTTTCCATGCTGTTTTGGTTGTCGGTTGCAGGACCACGGCAGCTGAGGATTCACTAAACCGGATAACGGAAGACTCGCCAGAATGACCAACTCGCGGCGCAGGCGCCTCACATGACTCCCAGGGATTTGGGAGTAATCTCCGGGGCTTCGGGCTCTGCGGAGGGGGGGGAGGGGGTGTCAGGTCCTGGTTGAATGTTTGCTGTGGGGTTTTTTGCAAACACCTTGAGCTCGGGGTTTAGGCTTGTTTGGTGATCTATACTTGCATTCATGGCAACGTGAAGAGTGCAGGAGCGAGTGCAGTGCTACGAGTAGAAGCTCTACTTGAGTCAGCAAAGCACGATCTCAAGTTAGGTCATTTCAGACACAGTAGCGTCTTGCAGAGCATGAGCGTTGTTTTTTGACCAAGGCTTCTCACTGCCCAGGTCACAGCAATCAGCAATACACACGTGGGCCTTTGCCAGCCCGAGCACTACTACTTCTGCGAACTTGCAGCAGGCCACCTGTTGAGCAGCTGCGTGGGCGCAGCAGGCGAAGACACCGAGAGCAAGCCAAAATGAACCCAGTCCTGCAGCTCATTAGCGTTTAGGGTTTAGGGTTTAGCAGGGTTTAGGGTTTAGGGTTTAGGGCAGCATGTCGGATTCAGGTGACACCACGGCTTGCGAGAGCCTCCGAGCGGATACCTTCCTTTCGCACCGCTGCCTGGTGAAAGCAACCTCGTGGCATGAGCTGGTTTGCACTGGTGGTCTGGTCTTGTGCTCCAGGAGCTGCGAAACACACACACACACACACATAACATCTCAGGTGTTCACGTCTTGCACTTTCGCGAAGGAGGTCTTCCAAGTCTGCGGGGACCTCGACAAGCCACATGCCGAAGAAGTTCCAATGGCAGGATTCTGAGCTCCGCACGTGACCCATGTGCCTTGCCCTGTTGCGGGCAAAGGAGATCAGGTCGGTCTCTGTCACAAACCTTCAAAACTCGCCCGCGAGCCTAAGACCCCGCTAAAGAGGAATCATATAAACTTTGAACTACATAGCTTAGGTAGATTCCTTCAGGAGTGTTGGGCTCTCTGGTCACAGATGCATTCTGTCCACACCCTCTGCAAGGTCAGATGGCCAAACGGAGTAGCGCGGCACCTGCGGTTGTGCAAGTTGACATCGGCGAACTGCTTGCGCAGGAAGGAGTAGATGCATGGCACCTTCAGAAGTACCGTATGGGCTCTCTTGCAGCTGTCCGATCTACTCCTCCCCGAACATTGAGGGGAGGTGAGGATCATATTGGGGGGAGGGGGGGATCCTAGAGGGCTCTCTGAAGACAAAGCTTCCTTCAACAAAGGCAAGTATACGCAGTCCAAACCAAAACGTGCCTCTCCGAAGGAATGAAAATCCAAACCCACCAACAAACGGTCTCAGGGTTTCCACCAACAACAAAGGATTGCTGTTGGGATCGACTACTCAGATGAAGCAGCAGTAAAGTTTAGCTGAGGCTTATCTGGCCTTGGCCACGAAATCTCCACGACGTCTCCCCTTGTCCACCAAGATTCTACCAATCGGTGCTGCCGTGGGTCTGCCCCAGCCAACCCCAACCCCAAACCCCAAACCCTAAACCCTAAACCCTAAACCCTAAACCCTAAACCCTAAACCCTAAACCCTAAACCCTAAACCTGAATGCTTCGCAGAAGTGCTGCTCCCTCAGCCCGCAGCCTCGTCTGTCTGCCATCTCTCGGCTGCGGCAGCTTTGCTCCCGGGTTGCACCTCCTGGCCATCTTCTTGCGTTGTTAGAAAAAAGATTCGTATGTTCGCAACTGTAACCCTAAACCCTAAACTCTAAACCCCAAACCCTTAACCCATTCAATGTTACTGCAACATTCTACAAGATGTATGTATTTCAACAGTTTGGTTACACGGCTTGAGGGTCTAGGACTCAAGCCTCAAGCACTTGGGCTTCCCAGGGCGGATCATGAAGGTAACTGCGTGAGTGCAGTGTATCCAAAATCCCTTGAAGCTGCTTTTCGGGTTTAGGGTTTAAGGTCACCATCAAGTAGGTCTACGCTGCCTCTACATCCGAGCTGTTGGAACTGAGAAGTCACACAGCGACGCACCCTCCCATCCCAGGACAACGCATCCCTCTTGTGGCACCCGAAACCCCCCAAACCCATCAGCAGAAAGGATGAAGGTAATGTTCAACAGTCCTTAACAATTAAGGGCTATCGTACCCCCTACATCCCAGCTAGGATCATCCCAAAGGCCTCCCTGCGCCAAGGAGCTGCGAAAAGCCGGGCATTGGCCTGGCAGCTTCTTGAGCGCACGAGCAGGGCTCAGGGCGCAGGGCTTCGGATTTGGGGGGGAGAAGGGGCGTGTTTTTCGAAAAAACTGAAGTGGCGGGTTTCCGAGAAGAAAAAAAAATGTCACGATTCGTTGGACAACGTCTGCTGCAGTACTCTCAGACCCACCCTACAACCCCGAAACCCAAAAAGCCCAAGAGGCCAAACGAGTTTCTTTTTGTTTAACCCCCCACCCAAAAAAAAAGGTTGGGAGAATATTAAAAATGTAAATTGCTATTCCTTGCTGGTTTAAGTACCCTTAAAACTGCAGTATGTTACCCAAGTATGACAAAGCTAAGAACTTACGTAATACCCTAAACCCTAAACCCTAAACCCTAAACCCTAAACCCTACACCCTAAACCCTAAACCCTAAACCCTGAACCCTGAACCCTAAACCCTACTCAGAACTATGGGGCGCCCTTCCGAGCCGGCTCTCCTCTTGCACGAATCTGAGAGCCGGGATGGTCACGTCCTTGAACTTGGTCCCGGCCTGCTTGCCACGTGGGTTTAGGGTTTAGGGTTTAGGGTTTAGGGTTTCGGGTTTCGGGTTTCGGGTTTCGGGTTTTAGGCTTTGGGGTTTAGGGTTTTCGGGTTTAGGGTTAAGGCTGGGAGACTGGAAGGCCTGTTTAAGGGAGGCTCAGGGGCTGTAGGTGTTTTCGAGAAGGGGCTTCTTCGGGTTGGGTTCGGGCTCGCGAGAACGCATCGGCCTCGATAGCCCTCGACAGCCTTCCCAAGACGGGCGGTGAGCGCGGAGTGGGAAGGATAGTTCCTCAGCCCCGCTCCACTCAATCGCAATAGATCACCTGGATGGCAACTGCCACGGCGCACCATCCATGTCCGACATGCGATGAGATATCTTGTCCACCAGCGTCACCACCTTTGCAGGGAAAATCGGCACCTTGTTGCTGGTAAGACTTGAACAGCTGTACCATTCTGTACCCTGCCGGCCTTGTCCACGATCATGCGTGGGCTCTCGAAGGAACGGTATGGCTTTCTGGCAAGGAAGTCACAAGCCCACAAAGCTGCACTAGGCGGCTAGGCAGAGCTACAGGACAGGATCTATGGAATGTCATGGACTGAAGAAGTACGACATATCAAGAACTTGCAGAGACTGTCCTCCTTCACGCACTGTATTGCAGAACAAAACAACAAGTTCAACAGTTCACTGCGGCAGGTACATGTCGAGTAGGCAAGCACCCACAAGTTGCAAGCCTAACAACATGCCCCTTCGCCCTTAACCCTAAACCCTGAACTGCATGTCCAGCCCCTGAACTACATGCCCACCGAACGAGTCCTTCTCCCCCTCCCCACTTGAAAAGCCCCGTCCAATAAGCCGAGGATGGCTGGGCGCGTCCGACAGTTGGCTGAGGTGGGTCCTGCTTTGGTTTGGGACGTCTAACTATCTAACTGCACCTGTCTAACTTCTAAAGCCAAGAGGTCCGGCCATGTTCGGCCTCCAGAACTAAGAAGTGAACGAAGACGTGAGAAACCCAACAATCAGGACATCCTTTCTCACGCTTCGAATGCCCCCCTCCCCCCCCGGTGGCCAAATGGTCAAACCAAGCCCAAGGGAATCCTCAGCTCGTGGGCGAAGGCCCACGTTGCTGTCCAAATGCCGCTTCGCCGATGGCCTAAGCAGTCACGACAAGGTCACGACACGACATTAGGGTTCAGGGCTTAGGGCTTAGGGCTTAGGGTTTGTGGTTTAGGGTTTAGGGTTTAGGCGGTTTAGGGTCTAGAGTTTAGGGAACTGCTGCTCCTTGGATAGACCCCGCTGGGCTGAGAGCACTGGAGGCAGAGATGTCTGCGGCATACAGTCCAGGTCGAGGTCCTTTCAGGGCAGCTCGCAGTAATCACTTCCCGCTAGTGGCAAAACCTGGAAGCCCTAAAGCCTGAACGCCCAGACCCCTCACCCCCTAAAGCCCTAAAGCCGTAAAGCCCTGAAGCCCTGAAGCCCTAAAGTCCTAGAGTCCTGAACCCTGAACCCTGAACCCTAAACCCTAAACCCTAAACCCTAAACCCTAAACCCTAAACCCTAAACCCTAAACCCAAAGCCTAAAGCCCTAAACAGGTAGTGGCAAATATCGTTGAGTCCTCGTCGGCAACTTCCAGGTCCCACAGCAAGTCAGCCACTTCCTCAGCAAGAACCCTCGGGCCTCTAGGGTCTGGGGGTTTAGGGGATTCGGGATGTTTAGGGCTTAGGGTTTAGGGTTTAGGGTTTAGGGTTTAGGGTTTAGGGTTTAGGGTTTAGGGTTTAGGGTTTAGGGTTTAGGGTTTAGGGTTTAGGGTTCAGGACCTTAGGCCTTCAAGGGCCCTCAGGGCTTAAGGGCCAAGATTGCAACACAAATTCCACGGCAGGAGGACGGCCTCCAGCCGCGGGGATGCTGGCCGCTGATTGGAGATCTCCTGCTTGCAGTCGAACCCCGATTCAGGCCCCACATTTAGGGACCCCTGAGTCTACTACAGTCTACTAAAATCCTACTTCAAGACCTAGGGGGCTTCAGAAGGTGCTCTTCGACTTGGGGGTGAGAAGTACCCTTGAACCTCCAAGTGATTGCCATCGTCGCCCAGGAGGAGCATGGAAAGCCGCAGCCTCTGTGGGATCCTGGTCAAAGACACACTGGCACGGACAACTCCAGACTTGGGGGGAGCTTACGAGCTCGCCTGGGTGGAGTCGGGAGCTCTTCGTCGGGCACCTGCGCCACCGAATTGGGCAGGATGGCATGCTCTGCCCATGCAACCGACATGCGCGTGTGCCGAGAAGACTCTCTTCTCAAGAATCCCAGAATGGTTGGGGCAGGGGACCGGCATCGTGCAAAGTTCTGATCGGGACAACCCTGCCCCTCACTGTTCGGACATGTTCGGACCCTATGTTGGTTCTTGCTTGTTCGTTCTTGCTTCAGGAGCCGTCTAGGGGGCTGGGGGCGGGGGCTCGCAGCACTGAAGTGCCCAACAAGTACCAACTCGGCTGGATGCTGGAAGCACGTCAGACATCTCAACATGAAAAGCACGTGGCTTGTCGGGGGAACTGTTGTATTTCCGGCAATAACTGTCACTCTTTGGCGTTGGCGCCCGGTGGTGTGTCGACTGCATCCACGGAGCTCACTCGCCCGTAGGAGAGTGCTGTTGTCATGGCATATGAACCGCAAAGCACACCGAGAGAAAAAACAAAACACAAAAAGGCATTTCTCCCCACCTCCGCATCTGAGTCTGCCCAGTGCCAACCATCTGCCTCACGATCAACAATCGTCACCTCCTCCTCATCTTCCTCCTTGCAACATGCACCGTGCTTTCAGTTCCAAGTGCTCTGAACGCGTTTCTCTGGTGAGCGCTTGTGCCAATATGCCACTGCAGTCGATGTGGCTTGACTTCTGCGTCCTGTATTATTGGCGGCGCCGGCATGGCAATTGCCTAGTTCAGCCTCAGCATATAAGCAGAGTTCAACACGGGTACCACCCCAAACCCTAAACCCTAAACCCTAAACGGTGGAAGATCACGGGCGTACCTCGCGACCGGCAAAAATGCAAATTGGCACGCAGCACAAGGCCGCTGCCAGTAGCTTCGTCGCTGCCACACCTGGAGACAACGCCGGCGCCAACAGTTCCAGGGTTTAGGGTTTTAGGGTTTTAGGGTTTTAGGGTTTTAGGGTTTTAGGGTTTTAGGGTTTTAGGGTTTAGGGTTTAGGCTTTAGGGTTTAGGGCTTAGGGTTTAGGGTTTAGGGCTGCTCTGCCTCCCCTCACCTACACGTACGCTGGCACCTGCGCACAGTGTCGAGTCGCATGTGCTGGCCCAGGGTGGCACGGGACGCAGAAGGAAACCAAGTGACGACTTTTTTGTAGTGCCTTCATTGCCAAAGAGCTCCTTTGCAAATTTACCACAATGGCGTCAGCCATCTGCTGGCAGCCAGATGTCTCTGGGAGTCCAGCAGGGGAAAGGCTAAATACCACCTTTCAGTGGCAATTTCGGCACCCAATACACTAGACTATACTGACTATACTGTCGGGCTCTCGGCAAGCGCTTTCTTGTCTTGCCGTGCGGCGCTTCTGCACACGGATTACAGGTGTGACTGGCCGACGGGAGAGCTGAGCAAAATTGGGACAGGCAGCCGCTTTCCGGCTCGAGCTGCTGCATCTTGACGTCACTAGGACCACTACAAGTAGAAGCTGGTAACTTCAGCAAGGCAAGCTCTTTCTTCACGAAGGGCAGCGGCCAAAGCACGGGCTGTCTGCACAAAAGAAGATCTCAGTTAGACTGTTAAACGATCAAAGACCTGAACAGTGGCACCTCAAAACTGTAATGATTGCATGGGACATGCTGATCTTGGCTAGGCTTGCCAGATCAGCACTTTCTGCTTGGACTACTTCCGATATACATGGTCTATGCCTGGGCTCCGGAAATCCGGCAGGTTGGCGCCGACTGCTGCTGTACGGCCACAACTAGCACGCAACAGGCGACATCACGGGGTTCGGCATGGTTCCATAGACTTACTTTGCACAAGACTGACTCCTTAGGTTGAGAACTTGATTCAGCATGTTGCGCTTTGCTGCCCCGTGTACGCAAGTGGCTCTGGGAAAAAGGTTGATGCCTTTGCATGCTGATCCACGGATCAGCGTGGCATCACGGCACACCAGGCGCACTTGGGGGCAGACTTTCAGAACGCTTTCTGCGCGTTGTGCATAGAGAGCTGAAGCCTCGACCCAATGGGATCCTCTCACATTCTCAACCAGGTCTATCCTGTTGGGTGAAGGACATAATACCCCATAGGCTTGGTCAAAATGCTTGGCTACAGCTCGCAGGCCTTTACGCCCTCCCTCTGGCATCACTCAATTCTGCCAGCACACGGGGAAGCTCTGCTGAAGTCTCTACGACCCTGAACTCCAATATCTGGCTCAGAAAGGTCTCCGATCTGATCCAGTCCTTGGAAGCGAAGTTGGAAGCTCTCATCGACAAGCTGAAACCCAGACAAACCCAGACGAGGGGAGCCTCCCTAACGATCCCTAAGCGTCCTGAAGCATCGCAGAGGGGCCGGGGCTTAGGCAGTTTAGGACGGTTTAGGAAGCTCAGGAAAGTTTCGGAAGCTTCGGAAAGCTTCAGAAATCTTAAGGAAAGCTGAAGGAAAGCTCAGGAAAGCTTAAGGAAAGCTTAAGGAAAGCTTAAGGAAAGCCTAGGAAGCAGCCCAAGAGTCTGACGCCCGCTTGGAATGCTTTGGGTTCTCAGGGAGAATGATCATCGCACGCACGGCGCCAGCTGCAAGCTTTCGGTCCCATTGCTCAGGGCCTTAGGAGGGGCATAGGGTTTAGGGTTTAGGGTTGAGGGTTTAGGGTTGAGAGTTTAGGGGTTTAGGGTTTAGGGTTAAGGGTTTAGGGTTTAGGGTTTAGGGTTTAGGGTTTAGGGTTTAGGGTTTAGGGTTTAGGGTTTAGGGTTTAGGGTTTAGGGTTTAGGGTTTAGGGGTTAGGGGTTAGGGTTTAGGGTTTAGGGTTTAGGGGGTTTAGGGTTTAGGGTTTAGGGTTTAGGGTTTAGGGTTTAGGGTTTAGGGTTTAGGGTTTAGGGTTTAGGGTTTAGGGTTTAGGGTTTAGGGTTTAGGGTTTAGGGTGTCTCGCAAATTTGGATTTCGGGCTTAAGGGAGTTGGCTTTTGTGGGCGTACTGGCCGAGGCCTTTACAAACACCGCAGAGATCGCCACACCCTGTGCTGTCCGAATGCAAAAAACTGGGGGCTCAGCGCTTGCAATCTTTGCGCAAGCCTCCCGTCTCTCCGGTGATACCCGCTTTGATCGCGGCGCCACCTCGTCAAAAGAGCCAGCGCAGCAGACAAGGGAAGCTGTACCAGAGAACACATGTGGGGGTCTACGATACTAGGGGTACATTGCTGGGGTCCTTACTACAAGGGGATCCTACTATTAGGGGTGTATATGAGGGGTCCCTTATTATCGTAACCCCCCATGTCCATTCTGCTAGCGGCTCACAGCAGACACGTGTCACGAGGCAAGGGCGCGCGTACGAGGTTGTGGCAGGGAGAGGAGGTTTCATGTGCATGTGTATTGTCTGCTCTTTACACGAGCGCAACAGCAAAAAAGGGAAGCGCACCGGGGGTAGCATATGGCATGTGTATATGTATATATACATTCATTAATCTACATACTTATTTGGGTCACCGCCTATAGCGGTTCCCCTGTGTTTTTGCACATTCCCTTAAACCATCTAACCAAAAATCCCTCAAACCATTAAACCATTAAACCATTAAACCATTAAACCATTAAACCATTAAGCCATTAAACCATTAAACCATTAAACCATTAAACCAATGGTTTCCCCCATATGAGAATCCCCTTTAACCATTAATTAAACCATTAAACCATTAAACCAATGGTCTCCCCCCCAAACCATTAAACCATTAAACCATTAAACCATACCATTAAACCATTAAACCAATGGTTTCCCGCTTCTGAAAATCCCCTAAACCATTAAACTATTAAACCATTAAACCATTAAACCAATGGTTACCCCCTTATGAAAATCCCCTAAGCCATTAAACCATTAAACCATTAAACCATTAAACCATTAAACCATTAAACCATTAAACCAATGGTTTCCCCCATATGAGAATCCCCTAAACCATTAAACCATTTTCATGGCGGGCAACCAGTGGTTTAATGGTTTAATGGTTTAATTTCATGGTTTAATGGTTTAATGCCTTAATGGTTGAATGGTTTAATGGTTTAATGGTTTAATGGTTTAAGGGATTTTCATAAGGGGGAAACCATTGGTTTAATGGTTTAATGGTTTAATAGTTTAGGCGATTCTCATAAGGGGGAAACCATTGGTTTAATGGTTTAATGGTTTATTGGTTAAATGGTTTAATGGTTTAATGGTTCTCCTGCCGAGGTACCTCTACCGCATCTTTTCTGCTCCTAAAGTTCTGATTCGCAAGCAGTGTCCCCTGTATCCTTTCTGCTCCGAATATTCTGAATCGCAAGCAGTGTCTCCCGTATCTTTTCTGCTCATAAGTATACGCATACTATATGGGATTGCGCCTTAAACCCTAACTCTTAAACCCTGACTCTATAGGGTTTTAAGGTTAGGGTTTAGGTTGAATTGCCGGCTTAGGTTTCAATGCTTCAATCTTTAACCCTAAACCTGTCAACCTTAACCCTCTAGGGTTGGGGTGCCTACATCATCATCGGATTTGACAAGCTCTGCGGAAATTTCTATATGACACGGTTATAACTTATTGCTGTGGTTATAACAATGGGTTAGGGTTTGATTTTTATACACTTATGTAAACCCATTAGAATAAGGGGAACCCCATCACGCCCCAACAAGCGAAATATCCCAAATACTTTACCTTAGCTAAAATATCTCAAGCAACCATTCCCCGATACGCAACACCTGAATTCCATCATTTCACGATATAGTTTGTGTATATGTTGAATCCCAGCAAGTAGTGAAAGTGACGAGCTCTGCGGATATATGTACATGACAAGGTTATAACTTTTTGCTGCGGTTATAACTATGGTTCAGGGTTTGATTGATATACATGTAAATTCACCTATAAGAAAATGAGGGCAACCCCATCACGCCCCAATAAGCAAAACAAAACCTCTATCCCAAAAGCTTTACCTTACCTAAGATCGCTCAAGCATTCATCCCCCGATAAGCAAAACTTGAATTATCCTCTTTGTTTATATTTTGAATCCCATGAAGTAGTTTTCAGGACATTCTCTCACAGTATTCTCGCGTCACCGGGGCGAAAGAGCCGTACAAACGTAGGCATAGCCCTGTGGGGTTTAAGGTTTGGGGATTGAAGCTCTAAGTGCTCTGGGGTGTTATGGTTCTATTGTATAGGTAATTAATGCCCAAACCTTAAACCTAAACCTTTAAACCCTATAGGGTTCAATGGTTCGACAACCTAAGGTCTGGGCATGTATACCTTCAGCACCCTTTAGGGTTAAAACCTTTGAACCTTTGGGAGCCCTGTAGGGTTTTACGGTTCTGACCCTAAACGAATCAGGGTTAAGTTCTGAATGCCCGAACTTTAAACCCTGAAGATTAAAACTCTTTGAGTTTTCGTTTTAAATGCCTAAGTCCTAAACCCCAACCCCTTACACCTTAACTCTATAGGGTTTAAAGGTTCGGGTTTAGGTTGAATTGCCGGCTTAGGTTTCAATGCTTCAATCTTTAACCCTAAACCTGTCAACCTTAACCCTCTAGGGTTGGGGTGCCTACATCATCATCGGATTTGACAAGCTCTGCGGAAATCTCTATATGACAAGGTTATAACTTTTTGCTGCGGTTATAGCTATGCTTCAGGGTTTGATTTATATACATGTAAATATCCTATAAGAAAATGAGGTAACCCCATCACGCCCCAGTAAGCAAAACAAAACCTCTATCCCAAAAACTTTACTTTACCTAAGATAGCTCAAGCAACCATCCCCCGATAAGCAAAACCTGAATTCTATCATGTAACCATATGGTTTGTTTATATTTTGAATCCCAGGAAGTAGTGAAAAGGACATTTGCTCACAGTATTCTCGCGTCATTGGGAAGAAAGCCCTACAAACGTAGGCATTGCCCTATGGGATTTCAGGTTTAGGGATTTAAGCTCCAAGCCCTATAGGGCTTTAAGGTTTTATCGTACAGGTAATGCCTAAACCTTAAACCCTAAGCCTTTATACCCTGTAGGGTTGAATGGTTCAAGAAAACCTAAGGTCTGGGCATGTATACCTTCAGCACCCTTTAGGGTCAAAACCTTTGTTCCTTGTAGAGCCCTATCGGGTTTTAGGGTTCTGACCCTAAACGGTTCAGGGTTAAGGTTTAACTGCCCGAACTTTCAACCCTTAAGGTTAAATCTCTATGGGTTTAGGCTTAAAGTTTAAAGAAAACCTAAATCTTAAACCCTAACCGCTTAGCCTTAACTCTATCGGGTTGAACGGTTAGGGTTTAGCGTTCATTGCGGGCTTATGTTTAAATGCCTCAATCTTAAGCCCTAAACCTGTCAAACTTAACCTTACAGGTTTGGGGTACCTACATCATCATCGACTTGTTGCTGTGGTTATAACGATGGTTTAGGGTTTAAAATATATACATTTATGTAAACCTTTAAAAATAAGGGGAACCGCAATAGGCGGACGCCCACTTATTTATCGATTGTTTTTTCATTCTTTTATTTCGTTTTGCACTTTTTACAAAAACAAAAAATATGTGTTTATATATATATATATATGTATATATGCGCTCCCACCCCCCACCCCCACCCCCTCGTGTATCCATGGTTTTGTGCGAGTCTAGCCTCAACACAGAACTGAATCCTCGGGGCAACCTCCAAGGCCCCTCCAAGTGCAATCCAGCGACAAAACACAGGCACCACAGAACCCACCGCGAGCAGACAGTATGTCTTTGAAAACATGCAGAATTGCAGCCCCACTACGAACCAACTCGATAGAATTGTTGGGAGGCTTCGTCTTCTCAGATCCTGAAAACTTCCCCAAGGTCTCCCAGCATGGTAATGTTTTTCTCAAGGACGAGACTCGTTTTGGTTCGCCTCAAGACTCTCAAGTAAATCACTGTTCTTGTTCGCCTTAAGATTCATAAGCAAATCGCTGATGAACCTCGCCGTCACTGAGTGATCCGTATCGATGTTGGGGATACTGAATGTCAATGACAGAACCAGCTTTCCCCCTTGGGAACATACGTTCAACAAGCAAAACCTCTTTGGCCAGGCATCGCCAAAATTTAGCATCGCAAGACCCGAGATTGTCATGCACATGTCGAATCTAGTCATTTTGCTCAAGGCCAACTTATCTTTATTTGGAATCTAAACTCACGGGAGGCACTGCTTGCGAGTTGCCATTTGGTCACCTGATTTTCCGATTAAAATCAACGGGGGCATTGCTTCGCATTTGTGTTTTGGGGGCCGAGTTCTTCAAGCACCGTAAGGGGGTACACGGGTCATGACCTCACCAAATACTTGGGGCTTCTAGAGGAGGAAAACCTATGAAAGCCTTGAAAACCCGAAAATGAACGGCGCTTTCGAGACAGGAAAGTATACGTCTATAGCGTGCCCCACTCTCAAACCTTATGCCTAAACCATGACCCTAACCCCTAAACCTTAAGACTTCAACGCCAAAACGCGGAAACCCCATGTCAGCTTGCTTCAACCCTGGAATAATGCCCGAATCCAAGATTCAAGATTCAAGATGCCTGGGAAAGAAATGATTGGGGATCTCGGCCTTTGTTCAATTTTTCATTTTGCATGCACAACTTGAATAAGACTCGAATCCTGAAGCGTCTTGAGTCTCAAGACGCCAAGGACGGAAATCGAAGGCATCACCGAAGAGTCTCCCGGGAATCTTCGATCTTCAACCTTCAACTAACTTCTTTGAGTTCTTCGGCCCTGGAGTGCTTTTTGTCCCAAAAGAAAAATTTGGAAACAAGAACTCAAGCTCCAAAGGAGCTGGATTTCGTGATGTTAAGATTCTTAACCCAGAAACCCGAAGGTTGAAGATCAGAGATTTCGGGACACTCCGGGAAAAGATGCCTTCGACTTCGGTCTTGGGCGACTTCAAGCTCAAGAGATTCAACCCAAGATGGACATCGAGAGGGCATGGCTCAGGAGTCTCCCAGAAGCCTTCGGCCTTCAATCTTCAACTTCAGGGTCCTCAAGCTCTGAAGATTCCTAAGGCTTAGGGTTTAGGGTTTAGGGTTTAGGGTTTGTTTCTTGAGCCGGAAATCGAAGGTTGAAGATCGAAGACTCCGGGAACACCCTCGGGAGATGCCTTCGATT